GAGGGGGAGAGAGAGAGGGAGACACAAAGTCTGAAGCAGGCTCCAGGCTCCCAGCAGTCAGCACAGAGCCCAACGCGGGGCTCGAGCCCACGAACCATGAGATCATGACCCGAGCCGAAGTCAGACACCCAACCAACTGAGCAACCCAGGCGCCCCTGGCAGAATTAGGTTCTAATTGAGTTCTACTCACCAAGTACTCACTGTGCCCCTGTCTGGCTGCACAGACACCCACCACGGGAGGGGGAAGGACAGAGGCTGTGCCCACGCAGGCCCTTCCCTCACAGGCCCACAGATGGGGTTGGGAGTTGGGGGGGTGGTGACCTCTGACCTGTGGTTCTCTAAGTTTTCAACAAAGCAACAATGAACATGTATCACCTCTATTATCGGAGGTGAGGGATGTTTTTATATTTTCAATTCCAACTTGCCCCCAAGCTCTGCTGCCTTCAAGTTGGCAAGTGCGGCCCAGCAGGCTTGGGGTAGGGAAGGTTGGGTTAGCTGAGTTTCTGAAAAAGCTGCCTCCTCCCCAGACAGGAAGACAGGCAGAAAGAAGGACATTCTTGGGAGCAGCTGGAATTGAGAGCTTCTCTAGAGACAGAATGCTGAGCCCTGGCCTCTCCCAGACCCTTCTGGCTCCTCCTGGATCCAGCCGGCTGCAGGGTAAACATTCATTACACAGACACGGCAAAGAACCCATAACAATGTGGGCTGACGGAAGCTAGGGATCACAGGAGTGACTGGGGCTGGGATCTGATTCGGGAGATGCCCTATTCCCAGAGAAAGAGCGAGTGAGGCCCACCCTCTACTAGAGGCCTGGTATCTAAGGGGCATTTTGATCACTGGGTAGTTTCTGGGGAAGGAATATACACGCCGCCCAAGACACACACACACACACACACACACACACACACATTAACAGAGGACAAAGTCGTATTGGTTCCCTTGGGCACTGCTATTCCAGGCAGGACCTATCAGATGCCAGCCCCAGCCCTCGCCAAGATGCCCAAGCACCAGCCTGAGGCCTTCTGGCTGGGCCAGTGCCAAGCGACCCGGGAAGCAGCTCTGGAGCCACTGCCAGGAAGCCCTCCAGTCCCTGCCTGAGACCCAGCCCCCCTCCAGTGGAATGTGCTGGAGTTGGAGAGGGGGGTCCTTCCTCTGCAGGCCCCATGTGGGATTAGGACAGGGGCCTGTGGAGACCAGAACATCCACCAAAGACACCAGTCCTAGCTCAGTAAACACAAGGCAGGGCCCCTGCACACAGAAACCAAACAAACGCCTTGGGACAGAGAGATCTGTATCTGGAGTTTCTGAAGGAAGGGTTTGAGCTCAGGGAGGGGGAGGAGAAGCTTCAGGAACCCATAACTTGCCAGTTTTGCCAGGCCTGTTTTACCTTGTCCTTACCCTCATCCTGACCACTGAGAAAGCATCTACTGTGAGCCCAGAAAGACACATCAGACGAACGCCTGCACTTTTAAGACCGGAGTGTAGAAACCCCCTCGCCCAGAAGTTTTCCTGCCTGGCCCACAGAGCCCTGGGCATACCCGCCGGCGAGCGCCCACACTCAAGCGTTCATACACATGCACACGTGCCCCCCCACACGCACGCTCACACACTCCGCGCACACGCGCCCACACCCTTGCGCGTTCACACATACACACGTGCACACCCTCACACGGGCACACACACACACACACACCCTTCACACACGCACACACACACTCGCCTGCTCTCCACACTCCTGGTCATGTGTTCACGTGCTCTCACATACACTCGCACACTTACTCATACACTCACAGGCTCCTACACACGTGCGTGCACACTCATGCACACTCCTTCACCCAGAGCAGCTAGCTCCACCCTCACTGGCTTTACACACAGCTTCCTGTAGGATTTTGCTCAAGCAGAAGGTCTCCCTCTTTTATTTTCATTTTTTTATGTTTATTTATTTTTGAGAGAGAGAGGAGAGGGAGGATCCCAAGCAGCCACGCTGACAGGACCGTGAGACCATGACCTGTGCAGAAATCAAGAGTCTGACACTTAACCAACTGAGCCACCCAGGCGCCCCAGGTCTCCCTCTTTTAAAGCTCGATAGCCGGTGCTTTAGCAAAACTGATGGGAGCGGGGACTCTACCTGCCTGAGCCACACAGCTGGTTTCCGGGCAGGCAGGTGTCCTGGATCCAGGCTGTCTGCCCCGAGGGGAAGATCTGAGCTTGAGGAGGAGAAGGAGGTAAACACCACAGGTTCCTGACAAGAGCAGGTGGCAGGCCAGGGCCAGAGGAGGGACGCAGATCGCAGATCGCAGAGGGCTGCTGGAGCTCAGGGAAGGACAGCACCCGGAGTGAGGCAGGGGGGTGAGCAGAGAGGGCCTCCTGGAGGAGGAGGGCTCTGAGAGCCCAGGGTGAGCTGCCATAAGCAGTGAAGGGAGTGGAGGACACAGAGGTGGCAGATGGGAAGAAAGTTCCAAGAAGAAAGATCCCGGGGGAAAAAAAAAAGCCCAAATCCACTGAGTCCTTACTACAGGCCTGACTGGAAGGCCTGGAATGCACTAACGCATGTCAATCATCAAGACTCCACATTTGTGGCAAACAGCAACATCCCCCTTTCACTGACTAGGAAACTGAGGGCAACTTGCTTAAGCTTAAAGGTTGGAAAGTGGCAGAGCTGGATTTTAACCCAGGAGGTCTGGCCCTGTGGCATTCGGTCTAATCTCTGTGCCAAAGAGGCTGTGGGGGCTGCAGAGCTGGCCCGACTCAGACAAGGAAGAGCCTTGCAGACCAGGTCACTGGATTTTTTTTTTTCCTGCAGTAGCGACAATGGCTTTTGAGTCAAGAGGTGACACATGCAAAGTGTGAGATGAGTCAGACTGCCCCAAGGCTGGGAACACAGGGCTGCCGTCCCAGCTGTGTGTCCCAATACCTCCTCTATTCCTTCCCTCTGCCGCCCCCCCCAATCCCGGGCCCCCCTAATCCAGGGCGCCTCCCTCAGAGCTGGTCGTGGTGCCTCTCCCAGTTCCAGGCTCATCCATCTCCAGACAGCTTCAATCGAGTCACTCTGCGCACGAACCTGCAGTGACAGCCTGTTCACGGCAGTGACTCTCAGCCCGTGGTCCTTAGACACCCCCCGCAGGGAGAGCATCAGCTGAGAGATTTGTTTAAAATGCTGATGCCTAGATCCCACCCCAGGGTTACTGAATCAAATCTCTGTGGGTGAGCCTACACTTTTAATAAATCTGCATTTCCGGGGTGCCCCTCAGGTGCTTCAGGGGCTCGCTACAGCTTGAGAACCACTAGTGCGAGAATGAGATGCCTAGAACCCCCATGTTAAAACCATGCAAGAGGTGTGGGTGTGACACAAACATAAATCGGCCTGAGAGCCTAGCCATAGTCAGTTTACCCACCAGCAGGGGAAGGCTATGCACAGCCAAAACTTCAGGGGTGGGGTACATAAGAGACCCAATTCCAGGCCCAGCTTTGCTACTTTCTATCTGGGTGACCTTGGGCTCAGGTGATCAAAGCCTCACCTTGCCCAGCTGCCAAATTGTCAAGAGCCATAAAGGTCTGAGGTTTATTCTTTTGGCAAGCTAACAAGTTAGCCCGCCCCAGTTTTATGGACGCTGGCAGAACAGACATTGCTGGATCGGAGACAGAGGACCTGATTATTCAAGGCACAGCAAGCAAGCTGGAGATGTGTGTTTGTGTTGATTCCTCTTGCCCTATCAAGTACTACGGGGTGACGCAAAGCTTGACCCAGCTGGTGCTCCATGTGCGTTGGGCTTGGAATCACAGCTGAGAAAGCCCAAGTGCTGGGAAACCAAATCTTTTATAACAAGCAGCAAGCAAAGCTGTGCGATCTTTGCTCCAGAGGGAAGTATCATCATTATTATGCAGAACAAGAAAAAATAGCTTGCCTCTGCTCAAGTGGGAGATGCTATCTCTTCCCTCCAAGGCAGCCGGCTAGTAAAGCATCCTTGAAAAGATAGACCGTAACCAGTCCAACTCAGAGCCTCTGGTTGCAAGATGTGCAGAATCAATGCAATAAATCCAAGGACAATGGTCTCCTAACATGAATGGGAATTCATCTTGCATGGAATTTATATGCTTTAAACCAGACCATGCAAGTGCAAGGCACCAGGCATATGGAGATAATTATAGAGGAGATAAGGCAAATAGACAAGTAACCAGAGTCAAAGGTGGAAAGTGATAAGCAGGAAACTTTCACCAAAGACCTTGTGGGAACAGCCATAGGGAAGATATGTGCAGGGAAGATATATCCTGGGCCAACAGCCAATATCCTTAAGATATATGAAGAGTTCCTACAAATAACTGACTAAGAGACCAATAACCCAGGAGGGAAAAAAAAAAAGAGCAAATAATATGAGCCAACAGTTCCCAGAAAAGAATACACAAATTACATTTAGGCATAGGAAAATGTTCTGCCTCGCGCACGGTAAGAGAAATGCAAAGTTAGACTATCGTGAATCTCATTTTTTACGTGTGTCAGACTGGCAAAGCTTGAAAAGGGCTGATCTCTTACCCTTTGTTGAGAATATGGGGAATCAGACACCCACACATTGTTGCTGGCGGTAAAATCCGCGTAAACAGTATGAACAGTGATCGCCAACACCTATCACAATTTTAAATCTAATTCTTTGACCGACCAACCTCTCTGACAGGTGTTTATCTTGCTGGGGTACTTTTGCACACATGCAAAATGATGTCGTGGATATTCATTGCAGTGACATTTGTAATAGCAAAAGAGTGGAAACACCTAAAAATCCATTATGTGATACTTCTATACAATAGGATTACTGTGTAACCATCAGAAAGGATGAAAAATTAAGAGGCACAGTAATGTGTATCATTTGTTACCCTTCATGCGTGTGCTCCAGGAGAGAACACAAACACATATAGGTTTGTAAATGCTGGGATATCTTTTTTTTTTTTAAGTTTATTTATTTATTTTGAGGGGAGGGAGGCGGGGAACGTCAGAGAGAGGAATCCCAAGCAGGTTCCTTGCGGTCAGTGCAGAGCCCAAGGTGGGGCTTGATTGCACAAACCATGAGATCATGACCTGAGCCGAGATCAAGTGTCAGTGCTTAACCGACTGAGCCAGGCAGATATCCCACAAGGATATCTTTAGAAAAGCACACCAGAATGTTACAGCACAGGATGCTGCTTGGAGCAGGAGCTGGGACACTGGATTCAAAGGAGGCAGGAAGACTACCATTTCTTTGTACAGTAAAACCTTGGTTTGCGAGCATAATTTGTTCTGGAAACATGCTTGTGAGCCAAGGCACTTGTATATCAAAGCAAATTTCCCCATAAGAAATAATGGAAACTCAGATGATTCATTCTACAACCCAAAAATAGTCATATAAAAATAATCACAATTCTGTAATATAATACAAAATAATAAAGAAAATACAAAGTATAAACAAATTCACCTGCACTTACCTTTGAAAACCTTTGTGGCTGGTGTGAGGGAGACAAGAGACAGGAGGGTTATTGTGGAGGACGACTTTCACTATCACTAATGGAATCACTGCTATCTATTGGCTCAGTGGAACCTTTTTCTTTTTGTGCACCTTTAACAAGAAACCCATCCAATGACATCTTTTGCCTCCTTTTGAGGATTTCGTGGAAATGTGATATTGCATTGTCGTTAAACAGACTCATTGCCCGCACTGCTACAGCCTTATTTGGGTGGTGCTTTTCTACAAATTTTGCACCATTTCCCACATTTTACTCATCTCCCTAATCTCATCGGAAGTGAGGGATTCCTCTGCCTTTTTCTCCGCCTCCTCTGCAGACAAGATGCAGACGTAGACTTCTTGTAAAATCTTGCAATTTTGGCCACTTGCATACCTTGTTCGTACTTCTCGATGATTTCCTTCTTAACTTCCACCATAATCATGTCCTTCTTCTTACCACCTTCCCTTTCAACCTTTTTCTGCATGGGGGCCATTGTATACACTCACACAGCTGTTGACTACAGTACAGTATTAATAAACTCTTGTCAGATACCATATTTCATGTTACTGGCAATCAGGCAGCAGAGGAAAGGGTCTGTATCTGCAGGCAGCCTGACCTAGAATGAAGCAAAGCACTCCTAAGCTGACTCTCGGATGGAAAAGCAAAGGATTGCCCACAGGTGCTTGGAAGTGACAAAAAATACTCTAGTGCCACCGTGGACACCTTCCAACGTTCTGAAAACTCACTGATTGCCGCCGGATCCCGTGGCCTGAGACTGAGCATCTGAGCACGGGAGACGATCACCCATAATCCCACAGTGGGAGAGAGACAGAGACAGAGAGAGAAGAGCCACTGGCTCAGTTGTGATCATGTGACATTTGGTGTCACAGACTACTCGAATTGCAAGACATCGCTCGTTTATCAAGTTCAAATTTATTAGAAATGTTTGCTCGTCTTGCGGAACACGTTAATCCCGTCTTGCGGAACAAGTTAATCCCAGTCCAAGGTTTTATTCTATCCCCTTTGTACTTTGACAGTTTCCTACTCTAGGTGTGTATTCCCTCTCCCCCAAACTATACATAAAATACATTTGTAAAACCAACCAACCAACTTGAATGTTCAGATCTGCCAAGAAATTTGGATGGGCTGGAGCCCATCCCGGCCTAGCATGGCCTCAAGCCTGCAGTTCCTTCTGTATCTCAGCAGCTGCAGGTGGCCTCCCTGAGCAGTGTCCCCGCTCTGCCCAGAGCCACGCCCAGGAAGCAACATTCATTCTTTCATTCACTCATCTGGCCAGGCACATGCCCTGAGCTGGACCTCTGCTGGTGCGGGACACAGAGATGACAGACACAGGCCCAGCCCCCGGCTAGACTAAGCGGCATAGTGTGGCAGTTAAGATTAATGAGTGACCACGGAGTGAGACAGTGACAAGCTTGGCCTTAGAAACGAGCCACACCTTGGTTTGGGAACCACTCATTAGCCTGGCCAGTTACTGAACCTCCCCAAGCTTCAGTTTCCTCCTCTATAAAATGACTCCCGGGCTTCATCCATGGATCCACTATTTTTTTTAAAGCTGTGTCACTCAAGGCCAGTTACTTACCTCTCCGAGCCTCAGTTTCCTCGTCTCTGAAACGGAGGAGTGAATGCGATGCGTCCATCATCCCTGCACCGGAGGGTCACTCCACAGGCACGGGTTACAGAAGATGCTGCGGAAGCTGCTCACTGCTTCCATGCTTGGAGGAGAGGAAGGAAGGGGGAGGCTGGTTTCCCAAGAGCTGAGGCTGAGTAGTGGGGAAAGCAGTGGGGGGGCTCCTGGCAATGACCTGGGCCTAATGGGTGAGAGATGGACCAGGGAGCAGTTCAAGGTGGCTGGGGAGTCAAGCTGGAGGAAGGGATCAGAGCTGAAGGCCAGCACAGGCCACGGAGGGGAACAAGCCCAGATCTGCCCTTCGCAGCTGGAGGAGAGGTTGGTGCCATTTCTGACGATGTCTGCGATTCTGACGATGTCTGCGGTGGGAGTCGCATGGGCGGGAGGGGACAGGGCTCCAGGGTGGACACCACTGGGAAACAATCACAAGGGTATTCTGGCCTCTATACCTGAAAAGAACAGAGCAGCACTAAGTCCTGGAGGAACATCTCGCCCCAGCCTCACCGTCTCTCAGGGGGCAAGTCTGCCTCATGACCTTGGAGGCCAACCTGGTTTACTTAGAAATGGGGCGGGCACAGGCCTTTGAGCTCTCCCAGGTCTGTTCCCCCAAACCACACCTGCCTGCAAGCATACACCGGAGCCCTCAGGCCCTGGCCCTCCACCTGCAGGGTCCTCTCCCTCAGCCCTCACCTGTCGAAGCCCCGCCCCATCTCCAGTGCCACCTGCGGTCGGCAGAATAATGGCCCTCCAAAGATGTGCATGTCCTAATCCCCGGGACACCTGCGCATGCACCTTAAGTGGCAAAAAAAAGGACTTTGTAGATGTGGTTAAGGATCTTGTGATGGAGAAATTTATGCTGGATTATCTGAGCGGGCTTAGTGTAATCACCAGGGTCCTTATAACAGGGGGGCAAAGTGGTCAAAGTCAGAGAGAAGAGATGGGACCATGGAAACAGGGCAGAATGATGCACTTTGTTTAAAGTTTATTTGCACGGAAGGGGGGCACCTGGGTGGCTCAGTCAGCTGAGCATCCGACTTTGGCTCTGATCACAGTCTCACAGTTCATGAATTCCAGCCCCTGCCGTCCGGCTCTGTGCTGACAGCTCAGAGCCTGGAGCTTGCTTCAGATTCTGTGTCTCCCTCCACCTCCACTTGTGCTCTGTCTCTCTCTTTCTCTTAAAAAGGAATA